TCTTGTTTTTTAATTCATCATACATTGGTTCCTGCTTTAATTCTTTTCTGAAACTACTGACCCCCAACTATTTTTCTCCTAATGACCTTAGTAGGTCTGTATCCTGGAAATCTGAAAGATTCAACAACTTTGACAATCTTTTCCTATATATGAGTTTTCCTTGTTTTGGGTGATGCTACACTTCCAATTTCTCCTCATAATTTCCTACTCTTTCCCTGGATTTTTCATATCTGATCCCATTTCATTCTATCCTGGACATAGTATTGTTAGTGAAGACTTTTTCCTCTCTTCCTCAATTCTTTATGGTCTCACTTGGGGTCCTTGTCGATTGTCACATCTATGCGAATAATTTCCATTATTTGTATGCCCTCCTCTCTCTAAAGCCAAAGGATACTTTTCCAAATGCTTGCTGAGCAACCTACCGGCACATCAAACCTCAAAGGTAAATTCATCTTACCCTTAAAACTTGCCCCATTCTAGCTGTCCCTTTCCTATTAGTCTCTTAAAAAACAAATTAAAATCAGTATGTTAGAGCATTACACTACATATAATATATTTTAAAGTCAAACAGACCTGAAGTTAAAGCCCAAATTTCCCACTTAAATCCTGAATTACTTAGGGCCGGCCGAGTGGCACGTTGGTTAAGAGCTGGCTTGGGACGCCAGAGGGCCCCAGTTTGGATCCCACATATGAGGGCCAGTGACACCACCCTCGACAGCTAAGATGCTCAACAACAGCTCAACCTGGAGCTGGGCTGCCCCAAGTCGCCGGCAACGGCATAGGCTGCAGCCCCTGCTGCAGTGGATTGTCATGGGCTACCGTGTGTAGCCAGCAGCCAGCGTGAGTGGCCAGCAGCCGGTGACTGATCTGCCTCACCCAGCAAGAGCACAATGATGGAGGATGCAGTGAAGCAACGTCCTCCACAACTAGACTGAAGAACAAAAGGACAGCAACTTGTCTGTTCCCCTTCCCCCAATTCCCCAGCGCTGTTCCCATCCCCCAACTCCTCAATAAAAAAAAAAATTTTTTTTAATCCTGAATTACTTAGATTGGTGTTACCGTATTTCCCCATGTATAAGATGCTCCCATGTATAAGATGCACCTTAATTTTGGGGGCCCGAAATTTGAAAAAAAATGTATTACATAAAGTTATTGAACTCAAGTTTTATTCATAAAATTCATACAACTCCTCATCACTGTCAAAACTCCCAACCATTAGCTTGTCCTCATCTGTGTCTGATGACACATCACTGTCTTCATATATTGCCTTGTCCTCAGTTCCATCTTTGGCATTTGAAATCTACAACAATTGTATAAGACACACCCAGTTTTCAGACCCCAAATTTTTTGAAAAAGTGTGCATCTTATACATGGGGAAATACGGTAAATCTTTGTGGGGTTTACTTTGTGTAAGATAGAAACAATACCCACTTTGAAAAGTGCTTATGTGTAGTACAGTGCCTGGCCCCCTTTGCTTTTTCTGGCTTCTACTTTCCCTGCGATCAAACGTTCAGATAGCAAGTCCTTTCTCTCTACTTAACTCCTAGACAATTGCAGTCAATCCTTAACATCTTCCTGTGTTCAGTCTCTCCCATCAAATCTGAAACATCACTAGCCAATACTCCCTTCTCTGGACACATTACCCAGATGTCCAAAAACCCTCACAGACTTCCTGTTGCCTACATCAGCCTCCTTCCTCAGCTCCACAGGATTCACATTTGCAACTCATGCCTACCAATAACGCCCCTCGTTACACTAAATACATTTTCACTTGAACAGCAAGGGAAAGGGAAAATCAGAATCTCTTAGCATGTAAGGTACTTCAGACTGAGTATTGGTGTCCCCCAGAATTCATATGTTGAACTCCTAACTCCAGTTTGATGGTATCTGGAGATGGAAACTTTGAGGGTGACTGAGTCATGACAGTGGAACCCTCATGAATGAGATTGGTGCCCTTACACAACAGACCCCAGGGAGTTCCTTCCCAACCCTCTCCTCTGCCATGTGAGGACACAGCACCAAGACCGCCATCTATGAACCAGAAGCTGGCTCTCATCAGACACTAAATCTGCTGGTGACTTAATCTTGGATTTCCCAGCCTCCAGAACTGTGAGAAATAAATTTCTGTAGTTCATAAGTCCCCCAGTCTGTGGTAGTCTGTTATAACGGCCAAAACAGACTGAGCCAGGAAGGTAGGAGAGATTTCAATAGGCGCCCCTAAAGGGAATACATATTGTCACCTACCTTCACCGAGGGTGGTTGAAAACCCTGGCTTTATAAAGTAAAGCTTTTCAACCTTCTGCTCCAATCAATTCTCCCATTATAGCCCTTTGCAAACCTTCAACCTGTTATGAAAGATCTTCATTTGTATTCTTGCTCTCAGCCATCCCCTTGCCTAGCATCTCTTTGCTTTCCACCCCGATTTACAAAGTCCTATCCATTTTCCAAGTAGCAGCTCTTTTCCGCCATGAAACTTGCCCCAGCCCTGCCAGCCCTCAATCATCATGCCATTTCAGAATGTACAACACATTATTTCTGCAATTCATTTGCTATAAGATTTTGTAAGTTTTGTAAGTTTTCAGCCCCACTAGATAGATTTTCTTGAGGTCAGGAACCTTAACTATTTTTCTGTATTTCTATCACTATTCAATAAACACATGTTGAAAAAGTAAATTAATGAATTAATGACAAGCTCTAAATAAATAAACATTGAATAATGGGTAATTATCTGACATTACTTACCTGATGCAATTTTGCATGTTTTCAGTTTTTAAAATTAAAATTTTGCATGTTAATTATATTAGAAGTGCTTATTAATTATATTATAAAATGAATACCTGTTTGTAGTTCTAATCCTTTTTGGTAAAATGATATTTTCATAACTTGGATTATCTTGAAAGAAAATCATTTGTATGGCATGATTTTATTTTTATATATTTCTTGTTAAACTACAATCTTTAGGAATATTGCATGTTCTCCATATTCTTCTGTACATGAATATTATTATCTTAATTAGAATACTCGCTTTCATTTCCTTTATGAACATATTAAATAAAATGTCATGTAAAGTGGAACACATGTTCCCCATTTCTATTCTGGCATAAGATTTCATCAAAGTGCTATTATCGTAGGCCATCGATTTTTCAAATTTAGATGGGGAACTCTTTCTTTAAACAAATTATTGTGCAGTAGTTAATACATACCACAGAACTGTTCTGGTTGGGGGTGGGGGGGGAAACGAAAACAAAAACCCAGGAAGAATGCAAGCCCCACTAACTCAGGGTTTATGCCCCCTAAACTGTCTACTATCACACTTCCAAGTGACCCTTGAAACACTTGAGTGTAGTATGTAGGGCTACAGAGAGTCCAACCAGAAAATTAGCTTTGGGCTATATGTATTTCAACTTTCTGCTACACTCAAACTTTTAAAAAGTTGAATGTATGTGAAATCTCAAATTTATTTAATATATTTGATATATTCACCGCCAAACTATTTGTGTATCTACCATATATACTGAATACTCATCAATCTATTTATAAATTTCTGCTAATATACACTATTTATATATAAAGTCAACTTGTTTGTCTTAAAATCCTACTGTCGATGTATTTTAAAAATAAAAATGAAGATTGTTTTTAAAAAATTGAAGTGAATAAAAAATATATCCACCTTTAGTAAGACTTTAGGAAAAGGATGGGAGTTCTTCACCTGCGGCAAGAAAGCAAGCAGAGGGAACATCCTATCACTCATGTTCTCATCATGTCAGCCTTTGGCAACTGGTGTAGCATGGGCTGTCGGTCACTTACACTGTGATGTCACATGAAGCACACAGAGGAACCATGACTTCGTAGGGCCCAAGGACAAGTGATCTCCAAATGAGCTTTGTGGTGTTTAAGATGTAGGGCGGATGGTGTACAGAAAAATACAAATCCGTTAGTTATTTGCATCTGACCTCTATAATTATGACCAAAGGTATGTCTTTATAAATTAAATATTATATCTGGAAATTTATGAGTTTTTTCTAATCATTGCATCACAGTAAACAACTGTCAGAAAGGGGGCAGCCAAACATCAAAGGGGACATCTGTATAGCTGATTCACCTGTTATCTTTTAATCAAGTAAATGGTTCTTATTGCCTGTTGGAAGTGAAAATGTAACACCAAAACTTACATAACTTGGAGAGACATGCATTAGTTTTTTGCCTTCCTTCCTTCCTCCCTTCTAACAAGCAATTGTTGATGCCTGTTATGGGATAAACCTGGTATAGATAAACAATATAGTAAAAACCTCTGCCCTCATGGTGAGCTCAAGTTTTGACGGGAAAGACAAGATAAGTAAAATATATAGAATTTTGGTGATAATTAGGGCAATGCCATAAATAAAACAGGAAGATGGATAAATGTGTTAGGGATGGGAGCAATTTTAAATAAAGTGGTCAGGGAAGACTTTACGAAGAAGGTAACATTTGAGCAAAGAGCTGATCTTTCTGAGGATAAGTGTTCTAGGTAGAGGGAACAGCGGGTAATGAAGAGGGGCTTTGATTATGCATTTTCAAGGACTGGATAGCCAAGAGGCCAGTTTGGTTGAAACAGAGCAAGGAGAAAGCAGTAGGCAATGAGTAGGTCAGAGAAGTAACGTTGTGTGAATGTGGGAGATGGGTACCAGGCAATGTCTAAATAATCTCAATGCTGTCATGGTTAGAATATTTAATGTGAGAGTAATTCAGCATCTTCTCTTGACTTAAAATTCTAGGATGTTCCATTGAATTTTCAATGCCAAATTATTCACAGTAATGCCAATTATAAGACCTTACATTAGCTTTTCATTTCTTGAAATGCTGGAACCAACAAATCTCCATAGACCTGAAACAAATTTATACTGAAAAATGTATAATTTTGTGTCCTGTCAACAGATTCTTTAACCTAGAATTTGACAGCAAATCAGTGTTAAATCTTTTAAAACAAATAACCTCAAAGAAATAAAGGTATTAACAGGGGAAACAGTAAATTTTTTATTTTATTAAAGTACATTAATACCTAGAAACAATAAAGGGTACGTGACAAATATGGATACAAAACAAGTCAAGCTTCACTTGAAATAGAAAAGTTTATGTTATTTTTAAAGTATGTCAATGAAAACAAACTATAAATTTGTTAACTGTAAATTCCATTGAATGTATTGCAAGAATATAAAACTTTAAAATCTTCTGGTTTATATTCTTAAATAACTACAGGGTAACTAAGTATGTTCAGGATCCTTTGGGTAGAAAAATCAACTATTTTGAGTCACCTAGCAAAAACAAATAATTCATTGTGCTACATTTCTGTTATTTTGAAATGTATTGAAGCTTTCCTTCTAAAGGTGTCAATTTATTGAGTTAACTCACTGGGTGAGGTTATAAGGTCTGATTTCTACATTCAAGAATCTTTGGAGAAATTACCTTTGAGGAGGACATGCTATATACATTTGAACCATTTGAGTTACTAATAATCATGTGACAAGTCCTAGCGGTTTCTCCATCACTACTGGAATTATCGATGCAAATCGAAGTATGTTCCCTAGGTTACATAATACATATTCATACCATATGAACATGCTGTTCATACATGTCAATCAAGGTTCAACAGGGAAAAAAGGATGCAAAAATAAAACTACAATAATAATTTTAAATACTATATTTTCTCTAAAATCTTTGTCTTTGAGTTAAAATCATGGTCTAAATTTTGTCCAAAAGAATCTAAAACAAAAGATTTCTTCAGTTTTCCAAAAATTTAAAATATTTCTTGGTTTTCAATTCAAATTATATGTCATCACAAACCTATATTAAAGCATAAAATTAGCAAAACAGTTAAAAAATATTAATCTCAAATAAACTTTTATCACATATTTCAGTACCTTTGTTCTACTCATCTTTCTCAGGTTACTAGAAAGCCTCTATATTTCTTTTCAATGTTTAAAACTGAATGATATTTTCATTTCCTCTTCCCTTTAAAAAATCGTAGAAAAAAAAATCTATTTTAAAATAGAGGTAAAAACTCCTGAAATATTTTTCCCTCTCCCACAAAATAGACCTCTATTCGGTATGCACTTTTTTTTCATTTATATGCGATAAACAATCATAATGATAAAATTCCTTTTTATATATAACTAGGTATGACAGAGTGTCTTATATCTATGGGAAACACAATAAACATACTATATATATGACCCATCATTGCCTTACATAGTGCCCCTAATTTAAAAGGCTGAATTACATTCATTGATCTATTTTAGATACAGAAAACTACTATCATTTAAGATCAAACAAAATAGTTCCTCAAAGCACTTCTGTAGATGATACAGAAAATATGCGCTTGCACCATAATCAGATCACTAGAAGCAACAAGCATACAAACTACAGAGATAAGTACTATACTATACATTATGAACAAGTTCTATTCAAGGCTTCAAGTCACAACATTTAATAGCTGAAAACTAAACAGCAACTAACAAAAGAAAATGTATTTAAATAAATGTTTTCATGTAAATGGAAAAGGTTCACGCTGTAAACCCTCAGCAACAGAGACAACATTATACATCAGTCTCATACTTAAGATGATTCTGTTTGCCTTGGTTGGCTTCAAAGAGCTCCCTGTTGATTACATTTATGCTGCTTCTTAACAGAAGTAAAGTTCATAGCTTTGCCTGTGATGCAATCTTGTCAGGCTATAAGCTATCTCGAGACATAATCTGCACTTATCACTTCTACTTTTTGCTCTGACAGTATAAGAAAGCCTGCTTTCTCAAATGCACAGATGTGCTCAATGTGCGTGCACTTTCCAACTTACATGTGGGAATATGCTTGCTCTCTGTAGTATGTATTTAAAAAGAGCTCAGAATTTTCATAATAAAATCTAAATGGCAATGAAATTGTCTAAGTCATGAAAGGCTACTTGAAAGCTATTAAATAAATCCTATCTTAATTATTATAACTAATTTAAGTACATTTTATTTTGAATAAGTCAAAGACTACCTTTAAGCAAATTTATGATGTACAGAGTTCAGCCTTGCCAATATAGAGGCTTCATTTAAAAAAAAGAAACTATTCAAAGCCTCTGCCCAGAGATAAAATTGTAAATGATTTTAGGCTGTCTATGTATTTAAAATTTCTTACAGAACCATAACCATGCTTTTCTTAAAAATATGTTCTCTAGTAGAATACTGAACTAGAAAACAGATCATTGAACAAATCAAATCTGAAAAATGGTCTTTCAGTATAAACCATGGTCCAAGGAGGTCAAAAAATTATAACATGGGATACAAAAACAGAATGCTAGGGACCAAGGATAAAAAACACACAATGTAAGAGACTAGATCACCTCATTAAAGAAACCATAAACTCACAATAATGTAAGAGAGAAAAATCTATACAAAAACTTAAAAAACAAAAGCAGGGGATATAATTAAATTTTAAAAACTCAAAATCAAAAGTGGGTACATTTTCATAAAAGGACATAAAAATTTTGCAAATATTGTAGCCACTATATAACTATTGTGTAAACCTTCACATTTTGGTTACCTCTTTTGGAAGGTTTAGGGTATTGGTTTTTAATCTTAAATTATTTATAAAGAAATGTATCCCCCTCTGAAATAGTAAATCAAGTAGCATTTCAAGTTTTTTCCTTCATGGAAATAGCTGCTGGAATAGAAAAATACCAAAAGTCTTAATGAATTGATTTAATCTTTCCATGCTCTAACATAGGTTTTAAATTTAAACCTTTTCCTTCTACAGAAGTCAATTATTGGTGATACACTGCTATTTTCCCTTAGCAAATCAAAGAAGCATTTAATCACATATTATAATACCAAAGAATACATAATACAATTTTAAAAATTATTTATACACTAGCTCAGGACAATCAATTGACCTCCACTTCCACTTGAATAAAGCAAGAGAAAATGAAATTTTTTAGTAGTCTACTATCCAAAACAGGAGAAAGGTAGATATAGAGGACAACTCAGAAATTACAGTTGTCCATCATCTGCTAGAATGTAACTCATGAGCTGTTGTCCCCTTCTAATTCCTGTATTTTGTCACACTTATTGCTTTCTTTGCCCTCTTGATATGTATGAAGCTGTTCCATGAAGCCAGCATTTGGACATATGGAAGGCCTTGCATTTTTCACCAAAGAAAAAGCACTAGTAAATGAGATTTCTTCAGAATTCATCAGGAAGCCTATTACAATTGCAGCTGCCCTGGAAACTCCCGCATTACAATGAACAAGAACCACTCCATCCTGCAATAAAATGAAACAAAACTATTCATTATTCATTTATTTAAGAAAGGTTATTAAATTGATTGTACATTCTTATGCTATTTAAAATTATAAAATAAAAATATTCATTCTATCAATGTATTCAATTTATTCAATTATCAAAATACAATTTGTGTAAGGAAAGAATGGAAAAAACAATCAATCAATCAACCAATACCTCTTACCAACCCCCAGGATTGAAATGCTTTGATTGTGTAGTTAGAATTCTGAAAGAGTATCCTTTGTTAAACTGAAGTATTCTAGTAAAGCACACATAAAAATCTAATAACTTAGCCACATGTCTATAAATAAGAGAAGAGTCACAGGAAATATATGTGGAAACATGAAGAAAACTCTGATAATACACTAAACAGAAAGCCTGAGACATTCTCAGCATACATAATATTCCTATAAAGAAACTGGTGTCACTAGCTTGGAAATCTACATGTAAAATGATCAGCAAGGAAAAAATTTTCTACCCTTAGATATAATTTACGGTGGAAGGAAGTAACTTAAAAAATAGTTAAACTTATGAGCTAGTGAAAAGATGACACAAATAGCTCATGACAATGTGAAGTGGAAAAGGTAACTGACACCAGCATGAGGTCAATAAATGAAAAACCGTTTCAGGTAACTTGCAAATGATACTTTACAAGTGAAAAGGGACACAGGGCAAGACCAATGCTGATGGGGGTAATATTGCATTAATAATGAATGTGATAGATCTGATGGAACACCATTGATACAGGTTGGCTTATTTCAGGCTTTTAAAAAGTTAATGATCTAAATGAAAGGTAGTGAACTGTGAGCGCACCCTATAGAACTAGACATGTGAGTTACTTCATTTTCTGATTCTTTTGGTACAACACAAAAGAAAGACCGGAACAGGGGAAGGGGGAAAAAACAAAACTTACAACTAAAAACTACCCAAACCCTACATTAACAATACTATGTTTATGGCTTATTGGATTACTTTACTTCTGCCAGGCAGTTTTCCCAGATTCATAAATCTGTTGCAAAATTCCTTTCCTAGATCTGTTATAACAAATCTGCAAGTACATCTCATTTCAAGAAAGCCAAATGTTTCACAACACATTAGTTAATATTTTGAAAATCCTCATATCAAAAAGATAATTTAAATTGTTTTCTTATTTATTTGTTTTAAAGATTTTTATTGGGGAATTGGGGGATGGGAACAGCGCTGGGGAATTGGGGGAAGGGGAACAGACAAGTTGCTGTCCTTTTGTTCTTCAGTCTAGTTGTGGAGGACGTTGCTTCACTGGCCCAAGTTGGCACCATCATTGTGCTCTTCCCGGGCAAGGAAGATCTGTCGCCAGCTTCTGGACAGCGGCTCACAGCGGCTGCTGGCCACTCACACTGGCTACTGGCTACACACGGTAGGTAGCCCATGGCAACCCACTGCAGCAGGGGCTGCGGGCTGCAGCCTACACCGTCGCCGGCAACTCACAGCAACCCAGCTCCAGGTTGAGCTGTTGTTCAGCATCTTAGCTGTAGAGGGCAGTGTCACTAGCCCTCATATGTGGGATCCAAACCAGGGCCCTCTGGCATCCCAAGCCAGCTCTTAACTAACGCGCCACTTGGCCGGCCCTAAATTGTTTTCTTATATGTACATATTTCTGAGTCATTTCCAGATATAACTTTCTGTACAAGAAAAGTAAAACACAAATATTCACAATACATATATGAAACTTTTCTCACTTTGTACAATACTTCATTTTTATGAGACTGAAGATGTTTTAAAGTCATGTTACAGTAACTGATGAAAACTATTAGTGAACTTCTTTTAACTCAAAGCAAGTTAGATATTTCAAAGAAACTTAGAATCGTAAGCTTAATAATAGATACGCTTCACATAGATCAATGGAACAGAATAGAGAGCCCAGAAATAAGTCCATGCATATACAGACAGTTAGTCTATGACACTGGAAGCAGGAATTTACATTGGGGTAAAAACAGTCTATTCAATAAATGGTGCTGGGAAAATTGGACACATGCAAAAAAATGAAATTGGACCACCTCCTTACACCATATACAAGAACAAACTCAAAATGGATTAAAGACTTAAATGTATGACCTGAAACCATAAAACTCCTAGAAGAAAACATGGGGACTAAATTTGCAGACATTACCCTGAGCAATATTTTTACTGATACATCCCCGCGGGCAAGGGAAGTAAAAGAAAAAATTAACATATGGGACTACATCAAACTTAAAAGTTTTTTCACAACAAAGGAAACCATCAATAAATCAAAAAGGAAGCCTACTGAATGGGAGAAGATATTTGTCAATGAGATATCTAATAAGGGGTTAATATCCAAAATTTATAAAACACTCATGCAACTCAACACCAAAAAAACAAACAACCTAATTAAAAAATGGGCAGAGGATATGAAGAGACATTTCTCTAAAGAGGACATACAGATGGTCAACAGGCATATGGAAAAATGCTCAACCTCACTAATCATTAGAGAAATGCAAATAAAAACACAATGAGATACCACTTCACCCCAGTATGAATGGCTATCATCAATAAATCAACAAACAATAAGTGCTGGCGAGGTTGTGGGGAAAAGGGAACCCTGGTGCACTGTTGGTGGGATTACAGATTGGCGCAGCCACTATGGAAATCAGTATGGAGGTATCTCAAAAAACTGGAAATGGAACTACCTTACGACCCAGCAATTCCATTCTTAGGTATTTATCCAGAAAAACCCAAGACACTAATTCGAAAAAACATATGCACCCCTATGTTCATTATGGCGCTATTTACAATAGCCAAGACTTGGAAACAACCAAAATGCTCATCGGTAGACAACTGGATTAAGAAACTGTGATATAGATATAGATACTCATCTATAAAGAAGATGGAAATCGTACCATTTGCAACAATATGGATTGATCTAGAGAACATTATGCTAAGTGAAATAAGTCAGCCAGAGAAAGACAAATACCATATGATCTCACTTATATGTGGAATCTAAAGAACTGAATAAATGAGAAATGTAAACAGAAATTGTCTCAGAGACACAGAGGAAAAACTGATGGTTGCTAGTTGGGAGGAGGTGGGGATGAAGGAGAAGAGGAAGGGATGAGACAATATAAATTGATAACTACAATATGGCCTCAGGGATAGAAAGGACAGTCTGGGGAATTTAATCAATAATGTTGTAAACATTTTTTAGGGGATCAGATGAACTCATGTCTTATTAGGGAGACCACTTCATAGTCAGTGTAGACTATGTATATAGTCTACAACTGACCGCACTGTATATCTGAAGCTCATATTGAATAATATTATATGTCAACTATTAACTATATATACATATAGTCACAGGATGTGGAGTAGAGTGTGGGAATGGAGTCAATGGAATTGTAATAGATATGTATGATCTCAGGGGTGGGGAGGCAATGGATGCGGGGAAGGGGGTTGTCAGTTTGTGAGGGGTGAGAAGGATAACTATTGCATTGTTTTGTGCACCTGAAACTAATAGTAGTAAAAAATTAAAATTAAAATAAAAAAAGAAAAGATTGAAGGACAATAGCTGACTTGGAGCTGATTGGTCCTGGAAAAACACAATGTTCCCCTTCCTCAATTCCCCAACACTGTTCCCTTCCCCAATTCCACAATAAAATCTTAAAAAAAAAAAAAAAAGATATGCTTCAATGTTATTTTTAATATTTTCTGACTACATACTAGTCAACTTTATTTTATGATCCATACCTATGCCTCTCAAAATGAAACTAGCTTTATTTTCAGTTTTATACACTATGCATCCAGTTTTAGCTAAGGTTTCATAATGTTAGCATTTTCTTCTTTCTTACATCCTTTCTATAACAACTACCTCTTTATTGGTTTCTGTAGCTTTTGAATTTACCTATTTTCTTTTATTATTCCTTGGGTATCATACTGTCCTTGCAAGTATTTCTAGAAAATATTGGCTTTATAGCCCCTTTCCAGAACTCAAAATAGTGACAATTAAATAATTTATAAAGCAGGTTTTTTTTCTTTTGCACTTGCTATTATCCTCTGCTTGGAAGGCCTTTGCTCCTCCTCTTTTTGGTCCAGCTAACTCTGGCTTCTGCTCCAAGAAGCCTGCCTCCCTCTGAGTGAGATGAGGGCTAGGGACTATCTCAGCCATCTTTGTATGCCTAGAACATAGTACAATTTTTGGCACATAGTAGATATTCCATAAATGTTTGCTAATCAACTAATTAATTTTGTTCTGCATTTCTGAGAAGAAAGCATTCTCTTAAAAATTCAAATCACCATTTTGCTACGGACAGATAGTAATTAGGTTACAGTATTTCCATTTTACCAAGCTTTCTTTGTTCTTGTATTGTTAGTAATAGCTTCTGAACTAGATTGCAAGCTCCTTGAGGGCAGCAATATGTATCCCTCATATCTTCTCAGAATAAGTAATTAATATTTGGTGAAAGATTAACTGAGCCAAGTTTGGGTCTTTTGTAACTGAGTCTTTGAATATGTAGAAAACATATCAAAAGGCTAACAGTGGTTATGTCTAAATTTTGGAAGTAGGATGATCTTAATTTTTACTTATCTGTATTTTCCTATTTTTCTATAATCATATGGATTACATACATCATGTTTTTAAAATCACATCTTACAAATAATACAGTAAACATGGAATATCAAATACACATTTTCACACTAACAAACAAAACCTTCCACACATATAAAAGGGGCCAAGGAAATTTTCCAAAGAGAACTCTTGAGGCTACAATGGTTACCTTACTACTTCCCTCTCATGTGTATTTCTGTCCTTTTGGGCATAAACCTGACAAATAATGCATGAGGCAGAGATACAGGAAGGACAGAGAAACGATCAGGGTTTTATAAGTACAGAGAGGGAAATGAAGAAAGACATGAGAAAATAGAAGACACTCCATTTGGCAACAATATGTAAATAGATAAAACCAACAACCTAGGGCCAAAAAGGTAGTTTTGAAATACACAATTCATTGAGTAATCAGTTTAATAATACTTGCATATATATATACACAATAGACAAAGTCATAAAGAGATCTTGTCTAGAAAAAAAATGAAGACAATTCAAGAATTCTATTGCTAATTAAAAAAAAAGAATTCTATTGCTAAAACCAAATATGCATGTATTAATCTAAACAATAACGAGTTTTCAGGGCAAGGAAATACTGGCTGAGATTAGGATCCCAGTATTAAACCCAAGGCTTGAGAAATTAGAATGTATTATGGAATTCTCATACATTTTGCAGCAGGAATGTGTTATGCACCGCCTCAGACACTTTGGTGCTATCATCTCATGGACCCTAAGCTTGTTCCATCACAGCCGACACCTCTGTGGCCAACTACTTCTCTTAAGCCCATTGAGGTCTGCTTGCCCAAAAAGGCCCCTTTCCCAGTGGCAGTCTGCACAGACAGGTACAATCTGAGTTCTTTATACCCTTGCTGCTTCTGAACTTGGATGAAAAGTCACAAGGTGGGGCACAGGGTTTGGCTTCAAGGTGGCTGCTAAAGAAGTCAAGCTGTAACCTGGAATTGTGGGCTTGGTTACCTCCCCATGGGTAAACTTTGACCAATGGAAATAGGAGTTGACAGAGAGTCAGGCAAATCAATTCTCTCCTCCCTCCTTCCAAAGTCTGAATTGAGGTGGAGTTCCTTTGTACTCCCTGCCCAGAGATATCTTTGCGGGGGGGGGGGGGGGGGGGGGGGGTTTAGAGCAGGTGTGCCTGGAGCACACAGCTGTCACTGTCAGCTCACTGTGAAGTTGTGCTCAGCAGGGTTAAACACATCATTTACACTGCTTTTCATCCTTCCCTGAATCACTTCCCTTCCATCTCACTCTCACTGCCTAGGTAGGGGCTGCAGCTCTCAAAGGAAGCATCAGCTCTTAATCCTTGTCTCAGGTTCTGTTTTTCAGGAAAACCAAGCGAAGGACTATTTTAATTAACTATTTACTCTCCCCACTTTTTATTTGCAACAAATCAATATCTTCGAATATGAATATGAATGATGTCTATATTTTTCCTTTACCATCTAAGGCATATTCTACATCTCCTTAGAGAAGCAGCTAATACAGAAACATTATCATTTTTATTTTTAACAATAATTACTGGCACCCTGGAATGTTACAATCTAAAGCCCATCAAATTTTTCACAAGAGAACAGAGTGGCCAATATTAGGATTTGAATTAGAAAACCTTTTCCTTTTCTTTCATCCAAATATCTGTTATTAAATAAAGTTGAAATGTAGGGTTGAATAGCTTTATATTTTCCAGGTAATCCAGAGAAGGCACTTAGAACAGCACATATGGCACTCGATAAATATTACTGAATGAAAGAAGGAAGGGAGAGGGAGGGAGAAAGGGAAGAAGAAAAGATAGAAAGGAGGTAATTAGACAGAGTTCAATTAAACTGGATTCTAATGTTAACTGTCATTAACTGTTAGGTGTTCCAAGAGAGTTAACTTTGCTCTCTAAGTGATTCTATAGTCCCATCTGTTTACCTCACATTAATTTTGTAAGAAGTGTATACTGAATAAAAATGATGTCATTTCAAAGTATAATTATTGGTAACGGCAAACCTAGAAACCATGATGTTGAAATCCAATATCAACATCAAAGTATATATTGTCTGATGGTCTTCCAAAGTCAGAGAACCAATAGACAGCTTCTGTTCAGCATTTTCATACTATCTCAGTAAAGCAACACACATTTAGTCCTTAGAGCACCCTAAAATTCTATTGTTAAAAATGCAGATTCACAATCCCTACCTCAGTCATGAAAATGAATGCATATTAATCTTCATAAATAACTAACAGAACTAGAGCAGCTTTTATCCCATAGTCCACCTGATTATCTTGTAAACTGGTCAGAGGGCAGGTAGTTATAAAATATCAAAGGAAATCTAAGTACATACGAAGGACAGACAATTAAGTTCATGAACTTTCCACCGTGTGCTTACACAGGAAAATTCAGTAAGCGGAGAACTTTATCTCCTGACATTTTTCAGGAAGACTTAGGAAGATGGGAAATTAATCTTAAAAATAAATACATCATTGAAAAAAATGCAATTAGAGAACGAAATAGCTGTAGGAATTAATGAAACATTGTTGGAAGGGAAATTTCATAAAGGTTCTCTACATATTCGTTACAAAAAGAATAAAGATGGGATAATAAACCCATATTTTAAATTTTCTGCTTTTGAAGAACTATGGATCAAAACAAAACTTACCTTCAGTTTTGCTTGTTCAATAAATTCAAAACATTCTGGAAAATAAGACAGGATATTGGTTTCAGGCAAATCCAGTATAGAAATGCTCTTGTATATGAAGTCACTAAGGAAAGCATTTTCAACTCCATATGCAACATTGAGAATATGAGTCACCTTAAAGAGAAAGAAAAAAAGATAATTTTTAAAAATTCCCATGAATTAGATTAATTAAAGAGACTGGGTGTTGAGATCTGTAACAAGAATAAACCAGTTAAGCATGACTCACTTGACTAATACTTCCTCCAGAAAGCCTTCTCTGACTGCCTCATCCCTCACCAGAAGTGCTATTTCTATACACTCCCAGCGCACCTTCTTTGCCCTTTTATAGCCATTATCACTTAGAGATTGTATCCTTCACCATACTATTATAGAAACTCCATGAAGGTAGGGACCATGTTTAGCTTACTTACTATCATAAATAAGCATTGTGAGTGAGCAGTGACCTTAGCACAGAAATTACTTAAAATATTTGTTGAATAAATCAATGAATGTCTGTGTAAAAAATTAAATAAGAGAGGGCCAGCCAAGTGGCTCAGTTGGTTAAGAGCTCACTCAAGAGTGCGAGCTCTTGAACAACAGCTCAACCTGGAGCTGAGTTGCTGTGAGTCGCCGGCGACCGAGTAGGCTGCAACCCCTGCTGCAGCGGGCTGCCATGGGCTATCATGTGTAGCCAGCAGTCAGCATGAGCGGCCGTCCAGAAGCCAGCGATTGATCTGCCTTGCCCGGGAAGAGCGCAATGATGGTGCCAACTTGGGCCAGTGAAGCAACATCCTCCACAACTAGACTGAAGAACAAAAGGACAGCAACTTGTCTGTTCCCCTTCCCCAATTCCCCAGCGCTGTTCCCATCCCCCAATTCCCCAATTAAAAAAAAGAAATCTCTAAAAAAAAAGAGTGCAAGCTCTGAGCAACAGGGTCGCCGGTTCGATTCCTGGCCCAAGCTGAGCTGCCGCTGAGCTGCCAACAGGTGGCAGGATGGCTCAGCTAAAAAAAAAAAAACTTAAGTAAGAAAGTGCATCAGTAGCACAAACTTCCCTTTCAATAATTATTTCCCAATTTTCCTTCATATTCTTCGTAAGTACAATGGCTCCCAAGTGTGGCTGCACATTAGAATCACCTGGTGAGCTTTAAAAAATATTAATGCCCAGGGCCTCAAACCCCGAGGTTCTGATGAATTAGTCTTGTTGAAAGGTGGGATGGTCATGAAGGGTTTGCTTTCAAATGGTACACATAAGCATCCTCTTACTCCATGGATGCATATGAGCCCCTTTCCTAGATCCACCAGGCATATGGAAGGTGCCATGGAAAGTCCAGTAAGATAGGATAAGTGGACGAGAAAAATGAGTCAGTGCTTCTTGTTATGACATGCTTTTGATGTTTGCCTGATCTCGGTATTTTCATGTATTTCACACATATTTTAGAGTACTTGCCCAGCCCTGCTGTTCCTGCCCCAACTACCCACCCAGGTTATGTCTCTGGCAGCTCCTCACTCCTCCCTCCAGCACAGTTGACTGTGTTCGGGTCGATACCTGACAAGCTAGGCTGATCGTTATTTTTAGAAATTTAAAAAATAGGTGTAAAAGGCAGCTTGAAATGATGACAAACCTGAGAGCTTTAAGACAGCCCTTTTCTATTACTTTCTCAGAGAAGCTGAAAAATTCCTGCGCCCAACTGAGAAGAATAGAGTAAATGTGCAGAGAGGGACCATGACGCCAGTGGGAGAGAGAGGCTCTCTTGACTGGCCTTCTGTTCTGTGGCCACTCTCTACCCTGGGGTTCCAGAGATCCCCCCAAATCATCATACACATTCTTTTTCCTTGCTCAGGTTTCTGTGGTTCACAACCAAAAGAATATTGGTTAAGGCAGTCAGGGAGCTGGGCCTCATGAATTGAGAGCCATAGGCCATTTACTAACTTAACTGCCCTGAGGGAGAAAGACAACAGAAAAAAATCTCAAATATCTACTCCAGAGACAATCTTAAATAGAGACCAGGTGGGAGAGGCTAGAAAAAAGGAAGGACAATTTTAGAAGATAAAGTCTGAAAAGTCTTTCTGCTTTCCCCAGTCAAGTCTTACCTATACCGAATCATCCTCTCACTCTCATTATACTACTGGCTAGGATTATATGATTCTGGCCTTAATTACATAACACCTTCCAGTGTTTCATAATATTGATGTGTTTGCCTTGTCTTTAGAACTATATTCCACATTCCCAAAAGACCAGGAATGAGGTCTGACCACTTCCAGAATTTATATATATCATTATAGATAGCATATATATATATTATATATATCATTACCTACAGATCTTCCCTATACATCACAGGATTATGGAGAAGACCAAATGAGAATGTTGGGAAAACCTGTTGAGAGGTAAAAGTGCATTACAAATATTGTGGATTATTAAACTACCCAATGCCTGGGTAGTTTAGCTGTTTGGAAATGCAATTTATATGTGTTTGAATAGCCTTCATTGCAAAGAATTGACTAAGTCACAGGTGGTGATGGTGATAGGGACCCAGCCTAAAATCCTTCTAGTAATCAAGCATACTTCCAAAATGCAGTTACAGACTTCATAACAATGGTTGCTTTTGGGATGCCCTTTACAATAGGGACAATAAGAATAACCCCTTTATTGAGTAGTTAGTATGTGGTAGGCATACGGTTTATCTCACTTAATCCTTATATTTAGGCATTATTATTTCCAATTTTAATAAAATTTTATTTTTTTGCACTGATTCAAAAATCAAAATATTATAAAAAGAAACATTAACAAGTCTCGCTCTCACCCTGTCCCTATCCACTCCATTATCTCCCACCTTTATGATAACCACCATTGTTGGTTTCTTGTATATTCTTTTAGACTATCTTTATGCAAATATTTTACTTACTCCCTTTCATACACAAAGGCGTAACACCTTGGGGTTCCCCCCATTTAAATACATCCTGGAGATCTTTTCATATTAGTCATTAGAGACCCTTTTATGTGTTTTTCATAGTTCTATACTATTCTACGATGTGGGTGGCCTATTGTCAATGTAACCAATCCCCTAGTGACGGACACATGGTTTGTTTCCAATAATTTGCTATAATAAACAATGCTGCAATAAATAACCTGGAACATTTTATGTTATTCTCAGTTTTCTCTCCTCCATAGTGCTTTATGTGGCATGCACCAGGCCCTCTAGTACCTTATTAACAAAGCAACCATTATTACCATATCTAAACATTAAAATGAAATTCCCACATAAATTTCTGAAATGACCCTCCACAACAGAGTTTCTCCTAATTACAGCATTTTTCTTGAATTCTAGGGTATCCCTTTGAAATATGACATGTATTTAAATCAATAATTTTGTTTTGCAGCATCCTTAAATTTTTCTAGAAACCCTCTATTCAGCTGCTCAGTTTACCTTTGCTTCTCCCAGGCATTATACTCCCAGGTCATGAGACAGAAGGACCTTTTAAACAGTTACTTGGTTCACATCACCAAGATGAAATGGAATTTGAACTAGGGTATCATAAGAAAGGATACATAATAACAATATTTGACAAAGAACAAATTTATCAGCTATTTTTCATTTTTATCTTGTGAAATGCTAATTTATTAGTGTAAGATGTTAAACCTTGTTCTACTTATGTTAAAATATTGATCTAAGAGGGTTCCTGTTAAGAGATATAGTAATTCTCATATCTTTATGCAATTCCAGGCCATTATCTGTTATTGTCAGGCAGGAATTATTATAACAAAACAAGGAGAGTCCAGCTTAAACACAGGTAAGTTGACAAGTAAACATATCAAATTAGTTGGTGAATTGGTTAGTAGTTATTTCCTTGGAGAAATTAATTGCAAGTGTTTATCACATAAAATTTTTAGCCTCAGTTTGATCAAAATTTTTTTTTTCTCGGAGATGTGGGCAGCAAAGATAAGTAGGATAAGGTTTCTATTTATCTATTTTCCAGAAGTTTGCTGAATAATAGAGAAGGGGAAAACATGTTCACTGAGGGTAATAATAAAAATAAAATGTAAAATATAATAAAATAAAATTTCAAAATTACTATTGAAATTAGTAATAAAGCACATGAGTTGTATGGCAGAGGGTGGGAGGAAATGGCATCGGGGAAGACAAGGTATATGAGTTGGGTCAAAGCCTGGGTATGTCTTGGGAAAGAAGAAGGGGAAAATCAATCCCACACAGAGGAACTACATAAGCAAAAGCAAGATGTGCCTCAAAAATCAGTTTCATAGGATATGTGAAGGGAGATAAGGAGAATATAAAACTGGAAAAATGGATTACAAATGCAAGTATTTGAATTAGGTGCAATTACTTTTGCAACTTTTTAAAAATAATAGCCAAAAATGTTACCAATTAAACTCTGACATGGACCGATACAGTTTTTCCTAAATACATTTAACAATTAAAATACTTCCTATACATGGTGCCAAACCTGAAACATTTCCTTTTACCTTGTGCTTTTTCAGTGTATCCAGATCATGAGCAGCATCTTGTGACCCTATAAGAAATAAATCATATCACCTTGAACATAAAAGTAATCATCCTGACTTTTTATCCAATTTTTGCAACAGTTCTGTTAGTTATTCAATTCTTTTTAAAAATACAGCTTGGGAGGACCTCAGTCCAACTTTCTGAAAGACAACTTGGAAATATTCATTAAAAAATATTAATCTTGTATATACTCTTGGGATCTGAAATCCCACGTCTAGGAATCTGTCCTGAAAGTTCAGGATGTTACAAAGACCAGCTAGTAGTGTTTGTAATAACACAAAAATAAAACAAAAAAACAACCCAATAACAGGTTGTTTTTTAATCTTGTTTTAAAAAAAGCCCAATAGTAGAGGGTGGGTTAAGCACAAGATGGTCCAACTATGTAGTGACATACATACAGACATTAGAAGTGATGTGTAGAATATTTATGTCATGGCATATATCCCAATATATTAGGTGGTAAAAGCACGATACAAAATACCATCATACATTTTTGTAAAACAAAAAAAAGTGTATGCTTAAAATGGACAGGAAGTATATAGAACACAGTGTTAACAGTGGGATTATTGGTGATTTTTTTCTTCTTTATGCTTATTTGTATTTTTTACAATAAAAATCTATTTTTTTGCAATTAAAAAAATGGTATTTAAAAAAACATACCCACAAAATAACCTTAGTACTGGCTCGTTTGGGAAGACCGGGTAGCTTAAAGCAAACAGTGTTGGCCTATAGAATTCCACCCACATTCCGTGTACCTAGAGCTGTGCTCTTTTACAGTTTCTTCCTGTCAAAATTGGCTTTCCAGATTTCTCACACTTGGAAAATGACTCTAGTTAATAGGCACATTCTTACAGGAGGTTAACTAAGTAAAATAAAGTGAATTACACAATTGAAAAAACAAGGCAGTGATTATTTAAAGATTTCTAATATTTTAGTTTTCTGAATTAGGTTCCATTTCCATAAACAATGATTTTCTTACCTTACCTTTCTGGGAAATCTGCCAGCTTCTGAGGCATGATTTTAGATAGCTGAAAAAGCCAGCAAATGTGCTGGTTGGTCAGTATTCTCCTGGTAATACAAAGCTCACAGGCTTCTTACTGAGCCTACATGCAATTGTATTCTACTTTAAAAGTTAGCCTATCAAAATACTAACAACTGGTAAAGCTGGATGGTGGATACACAATTGTCTGTTATAGTATTGTCTGTAATTTTCTATACATTTGAAATACTTCATAATTTAAAAAATTTTCTCAGTTTTCTATCAGAAGTCCTAACCATCTCCAGGGATGAAAAAACAGGATCAAATAAATTAATTGAAATTTGGTCATTTAATATGCATGGTATTTTACAATAATAATTGTACTATACCTAGTTTTTAAAATAAAAAAATAATAAGCAACATGCATGAATGAAATTCTTTCCTATTTTTACCCTAGGTTGTCATCATTATATTTATCAAAGCTGGGTATTTTGATCATTTCCATTAAACACACACAAACACATGTGCACACCAAACCGTACAACAGGTCAATTATGTTTTGGAGTTGGCTGCCATATTTTAAAAGTGACTTCCAAATATGATTATATTTAGACAAATTCAGTATTCTTGAGACCAAAAAAAATGCAACCTCTATGCTCTGCCGTTTCAAACAATAAGAAAATTATATGAGTGTTACCAGGCTTAACAATTTTAGTCAACACAAATGAACTTCAGGTAATCAGCTGTGCGTTTCATCTGGGTAGTATTCGGTTTAAGTTAATGCTCTCTAAATTCTAGCTATAAACATCAGTTTTTCTCCAATTTTAAGTGGTTGTTTGAGTTGCAGTCTTGTGATAAACTTTTATTGGAAAAACACTTAAATCATACATATGGCATGTTATTTAAAACCTTTATTTTGAAAAAGTTATCCTTTACAAACTATCTTAAGATTAAAAACAAATATCAATTTTAAGAATTCGATAATTTTAACAGTGGCTACGTGAGCCTGTGTTAAAATTCACAGAAGTGAATACCAAGTCAATTTTACTGTGACAATTTTTAAAATAATAAAAAAGTTAATGAATAGGAATACAACTAAACAAAGAGGTCTAATAATAATAACTTACAGTTATATTGTACATTGACACAAAATCACTAACATTCATTATCTTGGCCAAGTTTTATTACAGAAATATTACACATAACTGAATCAGAAAGAATATATATTATACACTGTTGGAGTTGAGACTTCTAATAATTTCAATGTTTTGCAATCATAATATATGTATCATAAAAAACAGGCTATGTAAGACCTCCAGAATCCTGTTTCTATTTTTTAAGAGAACTTTTTATGAAAATACCAAATATAATATAAATTCTGATGTAGCATATATTAATTTACAAATTGCTATTTTCATCATCACAAAAACAAACCAAAAAAAATTATATTACTGAAAGGGAAATAAATGATATTCCAAAGATAAATGTTTTATTTGAGAAAATTGGTCAGCGTGAACATTCATAAATGGATAGAAATCGTATAAATTAATATGAGAATAAGGTAACAATATTTGTGAAAGAATTTTACAAAATAAGGAGCTATGAAAATTTAATGTATTATCTGACCCCCAAGAATATTGGGCTTCCTAGATCTCAGATATTCTCTATAACCTCATAAAGGATCCCAAGCTTTTCACCTAGAATTGAAGATCTCAAAATGTCACCAATTGGGATGGCATAGTAGAATGGATATGACAAATAATGAGTGCACCTTTTAACTACCCAAGAGAAGTGGAATTTTCTACTTTTCTAAATGACGTTGGGTTGATCCAAAAATCCTAGTGACTTTTTTTCTTAAAATATAATTCGCAAAACCTAGAACAAAAATGTCCACTAAGATCTTTTATCAGCCTGTTAGATAGTTCAAAGTTTTATGTAAAACTTTTAAATGGCAGAAGTGTGTTTGAATTTATGACCTAACTGAAAAAGACACATTATATTTTAGTAGTGCTCAATTTTCCTTATTCCCCACCAAAAACAAAAGTTAATTGCCATGTAGTGCTGGGCTGGAGTTGTGTTGCTTTGAAGAGGTGAAGGAAGCTCTGAGAAGCAACTTAGAAACAACCCCATGTCCAGAAAGAAACCTAGTCTGGTCAGAAACAACCCCTGCATCATTCATGTGGAAGAACTGTAGACGTAATCATCTATGGGTCCCTCAGGAATAAGGCATTTGTAACTAGGCAGAAAAAGGGCCATCTACCTCTCAGAAAAAAAAGAGGTTTTGCCTGATGAAAATATCCCATTTCCTGGTCCAGAAAGGGGACCAAATAAGGAATAGTTTCACCAGCCCCTTCCAGAACCCTCCCAGGATCTTGGGAAGGGTTTCGTGCCAATCTGAGAACACTACCTCGATCAGTTCACTTTGGATAAGTCTAAATAAAAAAAATAATAAGCAAATTTTAAAACTCTACAATAATTTAAAACAATTATTACGACCATGGAAGCCAAATAATTGAAAAATGTGCCCAGACATATTTTCTCCTAGAAATGGTGTGCAAATCCTGGGTGAACCTTCCAGACTAGCTAGATGACCCACTTAATTTTCATTGGGCTGCAGAAACTAGTTGAGATACTGTTTGGTGAATTTAGAGATAGCTCATGTAACAGCTCATCTAATATACAGTACAATAACAACTCATATGTATACTGCAACTGATTTGTTTCCAAAACCTTTCACAACCTCAGAACAACCCTAAGAGATAAGCAGGTACTATTACCTCAGCTTTACAGATAGCTTTCTGGAGGACCAGAGAGGATAAATGACTTGCACTAGCTCATCTAGTAAGTTAGAGTCAGAGAAGGGCTGAAAACCTAGACTCCCTGAGGCAGTCTATTTATCGATGGAGAACAGGAGTCAATCAGACTTGAGCTTGCTGCCCAGTTGTTACCCACTAGGTGTGTTACCTTGTGGACGTTTTAAATCCAGGTCCCATCTGTCAAGTGAAGCTGATAATCCCTACTTCACAGAGTTTTTAAAGTGAGATGTTGTGTGAACACCACGTAGTACCTGGCTATTTCTGACTCACAGTTCAGTATTCTTTTTACTCAAGAATGGCTTGGCTGCATAAATAGCGACAAATCATTAATCTTTCCAAGTCTTAATTTCTCTATTCATAAATGAAATATAATTGAAACCTACTTGAAAACATTGTTGACTTTTTTTTTTTTTAAAGAATACCATACCATATTCCTGGCAAGCTAACAAGTTTGTACTTTCATAACTGTGCTGTGGTTCTCTTTGTGGACTACGTTTTGTATCGAAAAATCAGTATTTTCCATAATACAAAAAGTTGTAAAACCATCAGACTCATAGCTATAAAATAAAAGCCCCCCCTATTCCTTAACACTCTGTAAACAGCCACTATGCACAGATGTGGCCAGAGGAGGCATGCATCACATGTGGTTTGTAACAGCAGAGCAGGCAACCAAGCACTTGACTATTTCTAGTATTAACTTTTCTAGAATTTTAACACTTGTCACTTGTAGTTTTGCCTAATAAAAGCATTCTTTAAATTGGATTTTTAAAAAGCTATGTATCCTTTTATAATCCAAGCAAACACAACATCAGTGTGTTATTTTCCAGAGAAGTTAGAAAAACACGAAGCTTTTCTAAAATTCAAATACCAGGTGCTATGTGCTACTAGAATCTATTTCTTATATTGCGGGAGCAGGAACATTTCTAGCTAGCTCATGGAAGTTCCATATCCAAAACAGGAAACCTATCAACTTTTCGGCAGGATAGCTGATAGTACAAACTATTACATATTAAGGGAAATAATGAGAAAGTAACATGATTAAAATGACTCAATGACAAATCGACATACTCACCCAGGAGTAACCATGGCTTAATAACGCCAACTTGCAGGTCCAAGCTAAGGTCCTGCACATAACCACAACCACCCCCACTGCTCGGCTCTACTTCTTCCACAACATGAATTCTGGCATCTTTCCACGTTTCTATAATTTTCTTTCCAGTTAGCGTTGTCACCCTGGTGCATTGCTTCCTGAGATTATTCCGGGAGAATGCTTTAATTTCCTGGTTAAGGGAGTGCATCACATGAGCAGTGACTAAGTACAAATACAAGCAAATCCAGCCAGCACATAAAAGGGCCGAACTGCTTGTCCCTAGATGCTCAGATAACAAATGCAGCCTCAGGGGTGCACTGCCCTCCAGGTGACAGTCACAGCAACACTCCGGAGACAGAAACTTGCAGCTCTGTTCTTCTCAGCTCGGCAAATGTAAGGCGAAGTTTGATTGGCCATTGAGAAACGGATACGGATTTGATGTCCTTTCTTCTTCCGGACTACGGAAAAGCTGCGCTTTCCCTATAGGTTCAGCGGATGCACAGGGAGGTTGTCTTACTGTTGCTGTTTAAATCTAGCTTTATTATTCACACAGAATAGTAAAATATAGAACCTATGTGGAGAGAGGGGTAGTATTTCCTAGCTTTTAGAAGCAGTGATTCTCTACGTTCGATTGGTGTCACTTGTAGTGACCGCGAGCCTTCTCTGCTGAGCTGGGCATGCGCCTGCTTTAGTTGAGACCGAGGAGTCACGATGCAAACACTTCGCAGAACCTGTTCTTCCCTCCTGCCTTTAGGAAATCCAGTGGGGGGGGTGGGGGGGTGTTACGACAGGCGTTAAAAGTTATTTCTCGCTTCCTTTGCCCTTCACACTTTCTTTCTGCTGCTATTGCCCAGAGGAATATTTACTAGATAAAAACTGTTTTGTGTATTTGTCAGGTAACAACTTAAAATAAAATCTGCAAAGACGCTTTTCTTCTTTTAGAATTGTTAAATTATGTTTCTGTATGCGAATTAACAAGAGCTTAAAGCATTTTCTGACTTCCCTCCTACATTTTCACCATCAGTAAAAGCAGGCTTTTATGCAGTAAATGCGTGTATAAGAAGCATTGCAGCAAGTCCTTACACACAGTTTCATTAAATCAAATATGCAAACATCCAAACTTAAAAAACAGACTAATTATAGAATGATGATTCTAATTACAAAAAGATGATTTCTTCAGCAAAAGAAATCACAAGATTCCTTTAAATACTAATTCCTTTAAATACTAAATACTTTCCCCACTTAAAATGCAATTTTAAATGGACTTAGACACCATGTATAAATACATGTATAAAGTGAAGAAGTTGCATGTAATGAAAATGTTCTCCAACACCACATATTAAAATGTTTGTTAGTGTTGAATCTCTCTGACATAAAATAAGACTAAATTTCTCCCTGTTGAAAAGAGTGGGATATCAGCCCTGGCTATCTACTGGTGCTCTAAAATGATAACTTGAAAAAATTATTTGCATCATTTAAAAAATCACAGGTTCCTCAAAAACAACTCTAGTCACAAAACATTTCATTTATTTATCATAAGTGATTTTTTAAAACTGCCAACTATTTAGCATCTACCATGTGCTAGGAACTGTGCTTATAAGCAATTTTTAGATTGTCAGTGTTATCCATCAGTGGCTTAATGATGATTTCCACACTTTATCCCATTTGATCTCACAACAAGTTCATTATGTATATACATTTTACAACTGACTAAACTCAGATGCACAAAGAACAAATAACACATCTTACATTTCACAGCTCATAAGTTTATAACCAACAAATAAAACTTAGGTTTGTTTCAATCCAATGCCTTAGCTCTTGTTTACTATAGAGTACAGCCCTGCTCCCAAAATATCTGAAGTTAAAATATTTATTGAGCATCTACTATATGCAAGGCACTGTTATAGTCACTGGAGATATAGCACTGAATAAAAATAAAGTCCTGTCTTTTCTGGAGCTTATATGCAAGTGGAGGTAGTGAATGGACAGACAAATAAATAAATAAGTAAATAACCATGGTAGGTTATGATTTAAGTGCCAAAAAGAAAAATTAAGTGAAATAAAGGAACAGGGTGAAAGAGCAGTGTGTTATTTGCTATATGTTAGTAAGAGACGTCCACCCCGATAAAGTGATATTTGAGCAGAGACTTGAATGAAGTGAAAGAGCCAGGCCTGTAGATATCTGGGGGAAGAACTTTGCAGACAGAAGGAACAGCAAGTGCTGAGACAGGAGTGAGACAGGAGTGAGACGGGATCAAGAGACTTCTGGGTGGCTAATGTGGCTTTTGGTGGTAAGTGAAGGGCAGGGTGGTAGGAGGTGAGGTCAGGGAGAGATAATAAAGACTTAGCATTTTATTCTGAGTAAGATAGGAAACCACTGGAGGGAAATAGGCAGAGGAGTCATGAATCCTGTGCCTGCTGCCCAGTTACCCCTTCAATAGATGCCCTTTGTCTGAGAGTGCTATTAGCTGACTGGTGACAATCCCTTCGAGGGCTGCCTCAGCTGCAGAGGGCTGCCTTGCTTGAGGTTCTGTCCTTCACAGGCCAGACCACATCCATGACTGATTGATAAGGTACCACAAAGACCTGGCCATCTTAGCCCAACTTGAAACAACTCTGAAGGACCATTCTAGCTCTAAAGGCCAACATGTGCTTGGCTAAGCCTGTCACTGGCCCTGCCTAACCTCCTGTCTTATCCTTCCCCTCCCTTCCACAAATATCTATCCTAAGGACACTCCTTTAAAAAGTTCTGCATGCTAAATTGTACCTCAGTCTCCTCCAGGAAAACCCAATCTGTGACAAGTGACATAATATTATACTTATGCTACAAAAGGCTCTTTCTGGCTGCTGTGAGGAGAGAATGAAATGGAAGCAGGGATGTTTGTTGGGAGACTGCTGCAATGGTCCAGATGGAAGATGACAGTTGCCTGGGCTAGAATGGCAGCACAGGGGGCGTTAACACGTAGTCAGATTCTAGATATACATGAGAGCCAAGCCAAAAGGATTGATGTGGGGGAGAATGGGGTAATTCCAAGGTTTTTGGCCTAAGCAATTGAAGAGTAGAACTTGCCATTTACCAAGAATGGAATGATGTGGAGATGAAAAGTTCAGTTTGGGACATATTAAATTTAATATGCTTATCACTGAACCAAATGGAGATGTCAAGTGGGCAGCTGCACATATGAATCGGAACTTTATAGAAGAGATCTCTGCTGGAGATGTAAATTTTGGAGTAATCAGCTTAAAATTACGATTTAAAACCATGAGACCAAATGGGATGATCTAATAGTGAAGGTTGATGGAGAAGCTGATGTATGCTCACATTTAGGGTTGAGGAAGATGAGGAAGATACAGCAAAGGAGACTAAGAAGGAGAAGCCTAGGAGATAGAAAAGAAAGGTATGAGAGTACAAATAAAGAAAGAGTTCGAAGGAGGACGGTGTGATCATATGCTGCCAATGGATTTGAATAAGATGAAGATTGAGCACTAATACTGGACTTAAGGGCCTCCCCAGCAAGAGCAGATGCTGTGTCCCAACACTCTACAAACATTATCTGAGTCATAACAAACCGGTGAGGGAGGTAATATTTACTACATTTTAAAATAGGAGGGCATTTAATTTGAAACTTAAGGACCAAGCCTTTGGTCACAGAGTTTGCATTTACTTTTTAAATTCAGGTAACAAGGAGAGTTGAACACAGTTCCTCTTACCCAAAAGCCCAGGTTCTTTGCCCAGGTTGTCTATGAGGATGGGTGGATTATTGATTGTACATTCGTAGCTGCAGTTCCTGCTGATAATACTGCAATGCTAACCTCTCTGCAGTAACACTGGACACTAATGCAGGAGTTTATTCACTGACTCAACCCTTGATTTTACAAAAGAGGAACAAAGGTCTAGAGAAATAAACTGATTTGTCTAATGTCACATCATTCATGATCCTAGATCGCAGGTCTCTTTATTCAATATTTAGTGCTTGTTGTACTTCACTGTGTGGTTTTCCAAAAAGTCCTTTAAGGGCAAAACTTCTTTTCACATAGCTAGCCTGGATGCAGAGGGCTTGAGAAAACTATCACTCTCTCAGGCCTGGAGTCCTGGCAGAAGAAAAAGAAGAAGCAAAATGTTATGAAAACCAGGCCACGGGGGGGGGGGGGGGGGGAGCATTCCATCCCTGGAAGAGGCTTTGCCTATGCGGGGGACGTGATTGATAAGGGGTTGACCTGAAAGAGATGGCACATCCTTCCAAACGCGAAGGGGCCCTGGGTCAGGGGGAAAAGGGAAAGTGTGAAGTGACGACACCCTGGAATATGTTCCTGTGCTACCACCACCCCCCGCCTCCGCCATGTAATTTTTCTCTCCTAACAGATATTGAGTATCTATGCCAGGTGCTATGCTAGGCATTTTCCAAGTATTATCTCTAATCCTCACAAAAATATCACTTTTAGATAGATTAATTGAAATGCAAAAATACTAGTAAAAAGTGGATCTTGTATTCAACCTCAGGTCAGTTGGATCCCAAGGCACCCTTTCATCCCACTACATTACACATTCTGACATATTACATAATAAAATGACCATGGGAGTATGTAATCTTCATTAGTTTAGATATGACTTACATGGGTAAAAATATTAGTAAATAATCCAAAATATACTTTACATCACAACTTTTGGCTTGAGTTAACAGTCAATTCTGCACTTGACTGAGAACATGCAGACACAGCCTGAAATAAATACAGAGAAATACCATAATTCTCTCATGATTATGGCACTGCTCCTATGCGAGCTATTTAAGGACATTTTCAAAAATATTAGTTTAAATAAAACAAGTTTGAATGCAAATTTTGAATACTATGCCTCTTATATGAATTTAATGGAAAATTTTGATTACACAACATTTTTTGCTTATATATGCATAGTTACAGTAATAATATAAAAAAGAAGCAATAAAAACAGAAGCAGAAACTTTCTACATTTCCTTCCAAATATTAATTATTTGCATGTCTGTGGTGATATTTAAGGATCTCACATGGCCCAAAACTAGTGAGATCTTTTCAAAGCCTGGAGAAAGAGAGCTTAGGATATAATTCAGAAATTTAGAGTTTAATCCTTTAAGATATACATTTGTAAAAGTCAGTTCCACATACTTGTCAAATTCTTTTCATCTTTTCTACCTCCCTTCAAAAAACAAATTGTTTTAATTTTTCAAATTAGTAGCATGCTGGATATGTGGGTTATCTTTATTGCAGCCACTCCTGTGCTTCAAAAACCACATAACTAGGAAATAAATCAACCAACAAGCATTCATGGAGTATCTGCAATGGGCTTCATACTCCATCAAAGGCTGTGAAGTTACCCAAAAATGGTATTCCGTTGAATTTAAGATTATAAGACATATCATTATTTTATGTACCACCAAGAAAGGAGAAATACTGCCAATTAA